ATTCGATCCAGGAGCATTCCCCGGGCAAAAGAAGAAAATACACGACCGGGTATTTTGATCGGGTTTCGGGTCCTGTCGATATTTGTTACCTTATTCGTTTAAAATTCTTTTCCTTTTTGGTGTTTTCATTAGATTTATTTTCCATACCTATTTAAAGGGTTGTAAGCCACGAATTTAGGGGACAATTCAGATTATTCAGACGTTGATGAGTAGAAAAACCCTTTCGTTCTTGAGTGTTTACTCTTGAATGTGAGTTTGGTGGACTCGAAGCTCGTTGAGCTCTGCGTCGATCAAGTATTCCCCTTGATCGTGGCAGGGCATCTACACTAATAGTGTTCGAGCCTCTTCCCGTGTGTTGAAGTTGCACGACAATAATTTTCCATCATATCCTTTTATTTTTGTGTTCTTGAGAAAATCCCAAAAAAAACCCCTAAAAAGTGAGAGCTGCTTATTCTGATTCGTGAGCGATTTCGGATTCCCGGATTCCGCTTACATCAGGTGGTATCAGAGCCCCGTTCAAACTCAGCGGTGATGTGAGGTATTATTATTTTGTTTTTACTGTTCATGAAAAAAAGTTAAAAAAAAATTGTTCATCAGCCACAAAGCTGAACGTGGGTTGAAAAAAATATATATATACATATCTTGGATTTTGGGGTTTTTTTTTTTTGTATCTCTGGTTCATGTCGGGGGAGAAGAAGATAGCAAAGGAAGCAAGCCATGGAGCTAAACATTGAAGACCCCTTGAAACAGCTTGCCGCATAGATGGCTAAGGTGGGAGCTATGCTTCTAACCATGGCTGAACAGAGTTCGAATTCTCCGTTGCAACAGGGTTCATGTACTGAGGATGAGAAGGAGACGAATCTGGAAGCGGAGAAATCGTCGATCAATTGTCAAGACCTGCAGAAGGAAGATGGAGATTCCTTCGAGCTGGTCGCGGTGGAAAATTAGCAGATCGTTTATCGCGATACTTTTTACTACTGTGGTGATTTTTCTTGTAGAATCTCCCAAGATGTGAGGATTGTCACTGCTAAACAAAGAACAACGACCGTTGGATTTGCGTAATGGGAGCGAAGCTTTTAGGGAGGGAAGCAGCGGCATAACGTTCATCTTTCCGTGGATTATTGTCTCTTATGTCAATGGAAGTACAGGAAGAAGAGACAAGAAGATAGTGAACCCGGGCAGAGTATTCTACAAAATTTCGTTTGGAAGCCAGGCTGGAAAGTTTTGAGGGCAAAGCTTCTTCAACGGGGAGGGACTGATATGAATCCGCCTAGCAAAGAAGCCCAAGCGTCAAGAAAGAGTTCCCCCACCGGGGAAATTGAAGGAGAGACCGGGGATTCGGTCCAGGAGCATTCCCCGGATGGAAGAAGAAAATACCCAACCGGGTTTCGGGTCCTGCCGATTTTTGAAACCTTTTTCGTTTAGAATTATTTTCCTTTTTGGTGTTTTCATTAGGTTTATTTTTCGTACATATTTAAAGGGTTGTAAGCCACGAATTTAGGGTACAATTCAGATTATTCAGACGTTAATGTGTAGAAAAACCCTTTTGTTCTTGAGTGTTTACTCTTGAATGTGAGTTTGGTGGACTCAAAGCTCGTTGAGCTCTGTATCGATCAAGTATTCCCCTTGATCGTGGTCAAGCATCTACACTGATATTGTTCGAGCCTCTTCCCATGTGTTGAAGTTGCACGACAATCATTTTCCATCATATCTATTTTGTGTTCTTGAGAAAATCCTAGAAAACCCCTAAAAAGTGAGAGTTCCGTATTTTGATTCGTGAGCGAGTTCGGATTCCCGGATTCCACATACATCAGTAAGTCGCCCTAACCTTCTCTATTAGCCTAATTTATGCTAATAGAGAAGGTTAGACAGGTTTGAAAGGATAGGGTTAGACAGGTTTGCGCCAACAAGCAAATCGAGGTAGATGTATGAATAGAGACCTATGGTGATCGAGGCGACCGAACCCCTGATATAGGTAGCCTTCCTAGATATAACCCATCATACGATAGCCTAGTTAGAGGTGAATTTAAATGGGTCTAGGGGAGACGTACTCGCAGGTGTGTGGATAACCATGAAACCCCACGGAAACGAGCTCACTCACCACATTCGATAACCCTAAGTATCTAGACATACATAGTAGCCCTAGGCTAGGATGGGGGATAGTTCCTCGACGTACCTACTTTTAGCTTTATTCAATCTCTAAACTAGTAATTCCCTCAAATCCTCTAGTCAAACCACCAAAAAACGATTAACTAATTAACAACAAGGTGGGAAGTAAGCTAGGGTACCATTTCTGAGTAAAGTATGACCTTGATTACCACTATACGACAATGTCATCATAGATTAAACTTGGTTTAGGATGAGGTAGTTGTTGACGTGTGCTAACCATTGACAATAATCTGCACGGACTCAAGTGATCAAGCTCATAGCTGAGTGAGACAATCATTGCATCATTAGTTCATAACAAAGCATACCTCTATCATACATCTAACAAAGCACATCAAACCCTAGCAAGAGCTAAGTTCAACAATTTCGGCTCTGACCTAAATAATTGCCGAAATTCATAGGTTAGTACTAGAAAATTCATTACCTCACCGCAGTTAGCTCTTATATGAAATTTGAGCTTAATTCGACTTCCGAGCCCTCCAAAGTCCAAATTCCTTCAATCGGAAGAAGTTCTTGATCAGAAACTTTGCTATAAACCCAAAAATCAATCAGCTAGATTGTATAGAAAGCATACATACCAATTAGTAGATTTGTGGACCACCCAAACTCAAGAAAAAAATCACTACAGAACCTATTGTGCGCTCGGTATCTGCTTCTCTGGTTGGGGTAGTGGAAATGGAAAATGAAAGTGAAATGGGATGGAGGGGAATTGAAGATGCATTTATATAATTGTGAAGCGGTTTCGGGCGCTGCTGCTTTAATAAAATTAAAATCCCTCTCTTTGTGACACGCAAGCGTGTGTGACTAATTAATATCTATAATATTTATTTATTTAATAGGTATATTTATCCTGAATTGCTATTTGTAGCTCTAAACAAAACCTATTTGTAGCCCTAAAATAATTCAATTACTATTTTATCCATCCCAATTTTTTTAATTCAAATTTCATATAACAATCTAACCAAACACCCCTTCCTCCCAACACCCAACAGACCATCGCCGGTTTCCTCGCAACTAACGTCACCGGCGACGACGACTTCTTGCCGGAGACCACGTTCTCGCCGGAGACGACAATAGCAGTGTCGCCAGGAGATCACTTCGCCGGAGAAGAGGACCCAGTCGTCGAAGAAGAGGACCTCGCCTCGCAAGAGAAGGGGACCCAGTCATCGGAGAAGAGGAGATCGCCTCGCCGGAAAAGAGGACCCAGTCGCAGGAGGTAAATTTCTGAACTGGGTACGATGAGGGAGGGTCTACAACGGTTTCACGAGCCGCCAACGAGGTGACGTCCAGCCAAGATTTTGCCGTGACCGACGAACGTCCTCGCATGACGTCGCCGGCGACCGCGTGACGTCCGACCAGGACGTTCGTCGCCGGCCCCAAACGTCGCCTGGCGAGGACGTTCGTCCTTCACCAGCGACGTCCTGGCTGGACGTCACCTCGGGCGGAGGTTTTTTTATATTTTTTATAATAATTTAAATTATTGTTATCAATTTTAAATTTGTTTTATATAAGAATATTTATTAGGAAAATTTATTCAATGAAAAAATTTATTTTTTTATATTGGAGGGATTGTTTTTATGATTTATAAAATTTATTTCAATTTGAATTTAGATTGTAAAAATCCAATTGTATTGATAAATTTTAAATAGAAATAAAGATAAATATTTTAATTTTTCATTTAATTGAAATTAGATAGGGAAGGTAAATCTTAAATGATAAATATACAAAACTTTAATAATTTAAATGTAGAAATTTATTTCATGAAAAGTATTAATTTTAGTTCTAACCTTAAATTATAATTGAAAAAATTATTAAGCAATAAAATTAAGTTAGAATTTATTGTGAAATTCGATGTTATTATCCGAAAATTATATTGTGATCGGGAAATTTATTATAACTGAAATTATATACGAATGTAATATTATAATAAAGAAATTTATGATTGTTAAATATTTGAATATCAAATGTTAAATAATTTGAATATAAAAATTCATGGTATGAGAACTAGTAATTATCATATGAACATTGCTAATAATTAGTCTATAATAATAATAAATTGACAATAATTTTAATTCAAATTTTAATAGGTAGAAAATGGTGGATACAAGAGAAAGAAGAAGATGAAGGAGGTAGTGCCATCGAGGGTGGCCAACCGTATAGTATTGAGGTCGCATCGTGAGGAAGCAGAGAATGAGTGTCGACGTGCTAGGATTGTAGAGAATCCTTCTACACTGGCTCACGTGCCTTTTGACTTGGATACAGCTTTTGAGGGAGTGGCTGAGTATGATGGTAGTGATGACAATTATGATGACTTCCCGGATGTGAATGAGTCTTTCTTTGAGGGAAACCATCCGAATGCAGGTGGTTCTAGTAGACCTAGATTAGAGCCCGAGGTTCCTTTGTGTCTTATTCGTCCTCTCAGTTTGTTCATGTTAGACGTGGGCCTCGTGGTCGTTTTGAGTCATCACGACCCGATTCGGAGCAGGGCAGCACTAGTAAGAGGAAGAAGGTGAGAGAAGCTGATTCGTGGATTCTTGAGAGGAGTGGGCCAGGGGGGCCTATTGATCCTAGCCTGATTCCTAGTTTGGAGGACATGTGGCTTATCGATTATGGGATGATGGTTTGGGGGCTCGCCGAATGGATTCATTCAAGTTGTCGACTAGAGCATTGGCAGTCAATTATTTGAAAGATTATAAATTTCAGAGTAAGGGTGCTGAAGCGTTGGTTGAGAGGACAAGGTTTCGCAAGTTGTTGGACTGCTCGATCCAACACTTGGCGGACCTATACTTGTGGCGTTTGTGGAGAGGTGGAAGCCAGACACCAACACATTTCACATGCCTTTTGGAGAGATGACCATCACGCCCCACGATGTTGCAGTGCTGCTTGGGATTCCAGTCGATGGACATATGGTTGTAGGGAATTAGAGTGTGAAAGCGCAGTTGTGTGAGATGCTGAGGGTCGAACAATTGAATGAACGATCCAAGCCTTCACTTAAGAGTGGGGGTTTGGTGTGTGTTGAAGCTATGTAATAGGTTGGGAGGTTTCGGGAAAGAGATTCTGAGGTACGGATGTTCTTGACCTGTTTGTTGGGGACCACCTTGTTTGTGGATAGGAGTGGGGATCGGGCGCAGGTTTAGCCACTCCAGTTCTTGGGGGACCTTAGATTGGTGAGGAAATATTCTGGGGAGGTCTGCTACACTCCCCTATTTGTATACGCAACTCGACATGGCATCTCGAGCGGACTGCAAAGGCATGGGTGGCTGTTTGACCCTCCTTCAGAGATGGATCTACGAGTACTTCCCGTGTTTACGAGATCAGAAGTTGGGGACACGTGGATTGGTGTGCGGGGAACCTTTGCTAAGAAGTGAGAGGTGGCGAGATTTGGAGGTGGGGCACAGTTGATGAATGAGAAGTTGGATCACTATCATCGAGTACTGGTGATATGATCTCTCGTTCTTTGTACTCTGGGGTCATTCGGTGCATGAGTGTTGAGGAGATGTACTATCCCTCGCGTTGCCTCCGTCAGTTTGGGTACGTACAGACCATCCCATCAGATCTGCTTCCTCTAGTTGATGTTTGTCGAGCTGTGAATGTCAAGATGTACTCCTTGTCCTACGGTCCCGGCTTGAGTGAGCTTTGGAAGGCCCCTCACTGCCACTCGGTGCAGTTGGATTCGATATCGAGACATGTCCAAAAACCGGAAGATACCGACGATGAGTATCTACAGTGGTATGTGGGACGTACCCACTCGAGGATCGTCTGCCCCAGTGTTGGTGACCAGGAGATACACCACCATCTTACTCATGATCAGGTAAGTTTTATTATGTTATTGATATTGCTATTCTGTACAAGCTTAAATATTGCATTAGTTATCAAATAACATACTAAAATATACATTTTTATACAGTTAGCTGTGAAGCTCGTCCGAGAGTTTCGCACTGTACTGAGCACCCTTATGATGACCACATTGATCTTCTTCTTGGATTACGAGGATTGCTTAGAGAGTAGGACGAGGCGACTCCATACCAGCCTCCACCTCAGTACTAGTGTTGTTCATGTAGTTTGACTACTATGTAGTTTATTTGTATTTTGAGAACTATGTCATTAATTTGGTGTTTGAGAACTATGTCGTTTATTTCTAGTTTGAGAACTAAATCGTTTATTCGTTGTTGGAGGGCTATGTCGTTTATTTGTAGTTTGAGAACTATGTTGTTTATTGATTGTTTGAGAACTAGTGTCGTTCATTTGGTACTTTATTTGTATGTTTAGAAATATGGTAGTTTTAATTTAAAACTATGTTTACCAACGACTACAAATATAAAGATAAGATGAGTTACAAAATACTCCTTATTTACAACTATTGTCGTTATATATCAATACTACTAAAAATATCTCCTACTAGTCATGATGATCCCCAAGTGCGAAGCAAAGATCTCGCTCGTCCTCGAAGAACTGCTCCCACCCTTGAGTACTCATTTTGTCACGGAAATGGGTCCACACGAAGGTGAATGAAGGCATTGGTATTGAATCCTCCTCAAAGTCAAGGCGCACCCAATGGTTTCCGGTGTTACACAACACCAACACGTTGCTAGGGCGAGCTACCCCCGACTTGGCTATCATAGGTAAAAAGGTTTGTCCAAATGGAACACGTCTCCTCACCCTATCTTTGGTATCGTCCATTTGATTGTAGAGGATTATGGCCCAGTTAAATAATGTTGCAGCTACGGCGAGATCCGACTCATTCATCCAATGATCCATTGTAGTACCCTCTGGCTTGTTCCATTGTAATCGTGTGAGAGCAAGACCCACATCTTTATATGCGTACTTACAATGTTGGATCAACATGACTTCATCTATAATAGCCTTTCTCACCCACAAGTGGTGGTCCTCATCCCCTTGAAGTGCATGCGAAAGGGCACGAAATCCGCAATGGCCATCTGGAACAGGGTCCCACCAACCAAGACTTCAATCTCTGACACTTTCTGTGATGAAGCGAAAGTAAGGAAAAACATTCACTCCATCAATCTTGTGCATGGGATCCCTTTTCGGGTCACCTGTGGATGTAGTTTTTTTTAATTATCTTATTGGCATATTAAACATACTTATTGAATATCAATGAAATTAACAAAACAACTCAAATTATTCAATACAAACCTGTAACATCTGAGTTTGTTACTTTTCTCTTTCTATGGATGGGAGCATCCATCGGGGCACATGTTAGTGAAAATTTTGTTGTAATTAGCTTATTGGCATATGAAACCTACTTATTGAATATCAACGGATTGAATAAAACAACTCAAATTATTCAATACAAACCTGTATCATCTGAGGTTGTTGATTTTCTCTTTTTGTGGATGGGAGCACCCTTCGGGGCACCTGTTGGTGAAAGTTTTGTTATAATTAGCTTATTAGCCTATTAAACGTACTTATTGAATATCAATTGAACAAAGTCATTCAAATTGTTAATAACCTGTATCATCCGAGGTTAATTTCCTCCTCCTCGTCCTCCTTCTACCTTGGCATGCGGCAGCGTGCTCATGCCAAGAAGGATCACGGGCGTTTTCCCTTCTAGGTGGCCGACCTTTGGCCTTCGTAGACACTCGTGGATCCCTAAGGCCTTCCTCTTCGGGGTAAAGCTGACTCATTAATGCGACCTTGGCTACTCGAACTGCAGATGGACCACTCCTACACACCTCAGCCACTAGATCATGAAAAATCTGAAGATCGTTGGCATCATTGTCTTCGAACCGTCTTGCATCGTGAGGTTTAGCATAGTCCAAAGTAGACCAGAATGGTGCCAAGTGTGCTATCTGAAAATGGTCTCCCGCTCCTTTAAAGGAGTTGATTCGACAACTGCATGGGAGCCCATGTGTCCTCCCAATCACACAATCACATTCCGACAGAGTCTTCTTTCCCTCTACAAACATCAACTCAATCGCATATAGGCTTACACTTCCCCTTATAACGTTGTAGGGTGGTCCATAGGCTCCTTTGAATGTCTTTGTTCGACATGTCTCTAGCTCTTTCCTAATTTTGATCACTTCCCCCCCAATGCTAGCATGCCATGATAAAAATAATGTATCAACCCCCCCCCCCCCCAGTCGAAGTGTTTAGCCAAGCTTTAAGAGTAGAGTGAGTCGATTCAACCCTATTTGTACTTGTGTTACCAATATGAAAAATATTGTTAGTGTAAGCACAAGCCCACTTCTCTTTATGCTCCAAGCACTCACGATCCAAGTATTCTATCAACCTACTATTCCTCCCCCAAAATCCATTTTTGAAAATTTTCCATTCCTCAATCATAGCATGTGGTGTGGTGGCTTCCATCACCTTCTTCCAAGAACCATGTACCACTCCTCGAGCAACTTCTTGTGGTATCCCAAAATCCATCATCTTAGCTTCAATGTTCCGCTTTATGTGCCATATACACAACAAGTGAGCCGATTTCGTGAAGACCTGAGGGATAACGGCAACCAATCCTCCCTCCTTGTAAGTTAGAAGTGTATTCGGTATGCGATCTCCAAGTATGTTATGTAGCTCTCTCAAAAGCCAAACATAAGAATATGTGGCTTCCCCCTCCATTATAGCAAATCCAATGTTGAAGTTCCTCTTGACGGGAGTAACACCAATAAGCTCAACCAGGGGCCTCTTATATTTTTCCATCTTGTATGTGGAATCAATCAAGATTACATGGTACCAAGCACTCAACATCCTAACAGACTCAGGGTGAGCAAGAAAAAGGTGAGTAAGGTGGCGATCATCATCACGTTTGTAGCCAATGTAGTACCCCATCTCTCTCGCATGGTGTAATGTCCAATCCGAAGGGGTCATGTCACTCAATATCTCAATCCTTATATTTGCCGGCGTGTTGTAAAATTGTCGTTTGTTATGGTGAGTACCATACTTTTGGTTGATAGTTTGCATCATTTTTCGAGGAGGAACCCGAGCCCATTCCATCTCCTTCATATCCTTTAGCTCTTCATCAGTAAAAGCATTCCTCTAAGTGTGGCCTTCCGGATAAAGCTCTAATGCATGGTTGTGAAACCCACAAAATTTTCCCGAATTGTGATTGTCCTTCACACCATCAATCATCCAAGTATTATCCTCCGGGAGTCCCAACAGCCTCACTCGAAAACGACAACCATCTTTAAGTGACTTTGTATTGGATCGTCCTTTCTTATCCGGATCTGGGACATATGTACTGTTCTTATATCCAGGATGGCAGTGAAGATATATTCGGGGTACTCCTCGCCATCATTTGATTTGGTTGACGAATGTGTCAAAAAAATCCAAGATCTTTTGCAATCACTTTCGCGGCTTCCATAGCTTCATTCCATGACTTATATCTCGTATTTGTTATGAAAAATTGAGTATAATCAACTTTGTCTCCCTTATCTTTCAGATCTCCCTAAAATAAACACATTCATCTTATTAGTGATACTAACTTTAAAATGTTTGTTGTAGATTGAATTCTTCCAATTTGATATAGATTGTGTCTTACGTAAGTTTCAACACTTTTGATGACTTGAAATGTTTGTTGTAAATTGAATTCTTACAATTTGATATGGATTGAGTCTTATGTAAGTTTTATAAAATTTGATGACTTTTTTGCAACCTTAGATTTTATATTTATATTCTTATTAAAAAATATTAAACACGTTATTAACAATTATTCAATATTCGAACATAAAGTTATAATTCAATAGCTTTTCAACAACAAATTAGCACATAAATCATGATTAGCTAACAAATCCAAATATTTCAACATGCAATAACAAAGTTTGTAACAAGTAAACACATACTAATTAAATTATAAACAACTCAACAAAATCAATAATTCAACATTTTTCGAACAATATGTATCATTGTAAAAAAAAATTAAGCATATTATCAATTACTAGGCTTCATTAGCAAAATAACTAATTCAACATAATTCTAAAATTAAAAATTTTAGCTCAATAACCATGTTACTCATTGTCTGATATAGTGATATTCTAAAGTCCGAACTTGACGAGCTTCAAGAAATACCTATAAGAATAAGAAAAATCAATAACATTAACTTACTTTCAAAATATCAAAAAAATTAAATTAAAGAACTTCATTCTACAAATAATATTATAACAAATCTATCATAAAAATATAATAATTACAATATTCATAAAATATTAAATTACAATAAAATCACAAAATATTCTTAAAAAGTCTAAATTATTGTCACTAACATTAACTTAGTTTCAAAATATAAAAAAATAAATTAAACAACTTTATTACACAAATAATATTATAACAAATCAATCCTAAAAAATATGATAATTACAATATTCATAAAATAATAGATGAAAATAAAATAACTAAATATTCTGAAAAATCTAAATTATTCATAAACCTATTCTAAAAATTCTAAAATAATAACCAAATTATCTAATATCTATTTAATAAATTTAATATTCTTTACATATCTACTTTAATAGAAAATAAAAAATTCCAAAAAAAAAAATGGCGACGACCTAGGTAGCCATCCGTCTGCCGGGGACGTCGACCTCCATGGACAGACGACTACGTAGGTCATCGCCGGTAAAAATTTTCCGGTCGTTTACCTCGTCAGTTGCGCTTTGTTGAGGCGCGGAGGTGGTGGTGGCGATCGCCGAAGGCGAAAGTATTGGGATTGTGTTTAGGGAAAGTGTTTGAATTATTTTTTGTGTTGGAATGCGTGAATTGAATGAATTTAAATGTGATGGGTATTTATGTACATTTTTTTAATTTAGGGCTACAAATAAGGACAAGTTAGGGCTACAAATAGTACATCCTATATTTATACAATCAATCGATAATATTATTTTTCGTCAAAATACTATTGAAACATTTGCTTCTAATAATGTAATTTCTAGCAATTGAAATATGAGTTTTGTGGAACAGGATGTTACAGTAAGGCTGCACAAACACACAAATTCTTTATACACTCTACGTAAGTGATAGCCTAGTTTTCGTAGAAGAGTCTGCAGCTAAGAAGATGTTGTCATCATCAATGGTGGTACCTTCTTTCTCTTCTATTTAGCTTAGTCGGAATTGATTGTATGAAGATGTGAACTTATTTATTGTAAAGAGAATGAATGTTATGATTTCGTCTCATGCTTGTGTTTGTCTATGTAAACATCGATACATGTTGCCTATGTATGAATGCTTTAGTTTCAATACTTATGTGATGGTCATTGATCTGTATGTAGTATGAATGTTTCTTTACCATTGATGCTTGTAATTCTATTGTATGCTACTATATGCATTATGTTTAGTATTACCTATATTGATAAGAAATTACCATCTACTGTTACCCCATTATTGCTACACGGGTATAGAAGGATTGATCAACCATCTATACCTCAAGTAGTATCAATTTTTTATTGTTAGATTATTGATGCTATAAACTATGGTTATGGTTCGTATAAGCCCACAATTAATGTTAGGGCTAATACCACTGGTAATACCATCCTTTAGAGAAAGTGCCATTTATATTACATCGTTTTAAAAATGCCATTTGTATACTAAAATGTCTTCTCCGTTAGTTGGGCCGTTAAACATAACTGTGTGACTTTTCAACGCACAATCAGCGCTTACTAGGATCCTACGTGGCTCGCTGACGTGGTTTATTTACTGAAATAAAAAAAACCAAGGTAAAAGTAAAAACCGGCTCGGGCTCCCCTTTACTCTTTTCGTTCTCAAACTTTCCCCTCTCCCTCGACTGCGAAACACAGAAGAACCCTAGCTTCGCATAGGGAAAAAATTTCCCTAAATCGACGAGCTGGGCGGAATCAATCGGCGTGCGAGTAAAAGCGAAGGCTTCGGATCTTTGCCGGGAGTGAGATCGGAGGAGCGGAGCGATCAAATCGTCGTCGAGCTACTTCTTAGAGTGCTTTACCTTCGTCGCTGGTGTTTGGAGAAGAAGAACCAGAAGTAAAGCAAGATCGTTGCGAAGGAGTAGTAGGAGTTACTTCCTCCTCCTGAGTCTTCTCCTTAACCAAGCATAGTGATTGCGAAGAGGAGGTTTGTCAGCAGAGTTTCTAGGGTTTTTTGGGGACCTTTGGGGAAATAGAACTTGCTCCCCACATCTGGGTATTTGTAGTAGATTTTTGGTGGTGGGTACGAAAGTAGATGGAGAAGAGTAAAGGTGGGTGTACAGTTGAAGATTCCTTCCAAAAGCTTGGACCATGAGCTTGAGTGTGAAGACGACTTTAGCCTTACTGCTTGGGGAAAACAGGTTTGTGCTGTTTCCTTTGTCTAGTTTTTTGGACAATTAGATAGGATAGGGATTGTGGATAGTTTTGTTGTTGTTGTCTAGTAGTTGATGTCTCGGATGTAGGGAGTTGTTTGCTATATTTTAGTCGAATTGTGTTGGGGAGTTGTTTGCTTGTCTAATTGTGTAGACAGTTTGGTTGGGAAATGAAAGGAAATAATGTATTTTATTGCATGATGGCTAATGAGATGATTGAGCTGATTTTCAACCATGGAGGTTGGATGGACTTCTCCCAAGGCACACATCGATACGTTGGTGGGAGTGTAGAGCCATTTGACATAGACATTGACGTGCTCTCCTACTTCGTACTTCGACAAGTTGGTGTGGTGTATTTGAACTATGAGAGGGTGGATCAAATGTGGTACATGTCACCACATTCTACTATGGGGCAGGGGGTTCACGAGTTGCTTTCTGATGCCGAGGTGATGGATGGTTTGATTCATTCAATCCAAAATGGGCAGATTATGATATTTGTTGAGGCTAGTGATGGGTTCGGAGTTGTTGGTGACAACGAAGTGATTGAAGAAGGGAGTATCGAGGTGGGAGATGAAGATCAAGAGGTTGAAGAGTATTTTGCAGCTGATATTGTCCATGTTGAGGATAGCGACGAGGAAGATGAAGACGTGCATACCTTAGACAATGAGTTACACGAGGCACGAGCCCACAAGAGAAGGCATGAGCGTAAGAGGAAGTTTTGGACAAGTTGCAAGGACTCTGGTGAAGAAGTGGAGCAAGAGTCTAGCTTCTAGAGTGTGACAAACCGTGACCATGGGGTGGAAGAACCTGCTGCCCATGCTCAACAAATGGAGCATGGTGCTCAATTCCTATCTGCAGAAGAGGTTGACGATGGAGAAAATTCGATGAGTGTTCCGGAGTTACAATACAGACACTCATCGGGCCTTAACTATGATGAGGACGATGGGGTTATTTACGATTCACATGGGGAGCCTTCACATTTGAATATCGTGGCTGGTCTGAAATTTGACACAGGTGAGCAATTTAAAGAGGCCGTGTCTGATTATTGCATCTCGATAGGAGCTGATATCAAGTGGAACATCAGTATGGATAAGAAGAAGAGGGCAGTGTGTAGGCAAAAATGTGGGTTGTATGTGCATGGAAGTTGGCATGGATGGAGAAAGTGCTTCATGGTGAAGAATGTAGGGTCGAGGCACTCTTGCCCATGTGCCCTTAGACTAAAAGGGGCCAATGTTGTGTGGGCTACCAAGCGCTACATTGGGAGGTTTCAAATCAACCGAATTGGGAAGTGAAACATATGCAGAGGGAGATAAGGGAGACTCACAATGTAGAATTGTCCAGACGGCAGTGTTATAGGGAACGGTTGTATGCAAAGAAGCTATTGGGAGGTTCTCTAATTGAGGAGTATAAGAAGCTGCGGCCTTATGTTGCTGAGCTGAAGCGCGTTGATTCCAGTGGCCGTTTTATTTTGGAAGTGGACCCTTGTTCCATTGCAAATAGGGTCCTATTCAAGAGGCTATATGTGGGCTTCTCAATGCTCAGGAAAGGGTTTCTTGAAGGGTGTCGGCCCATATTCTCTCTTGATGGAGCGTTTCTGAAAGGCGAGGTGAATGGAAGCCAAAACACATGGGACAAACTTTTTGAAATCTGTACTAGGGTGTTGTGTATGCAACCAATTTGGCAGCGTTTCGAGCCGTGACAAGCAGAATGGAAGCTATTCAAAACAGCGGAGAAGACCCCACTTTGTTGAAGGACTTCATGGACCAGCAGCCCGAGAAGTTTTGTAGGGCATTCATGTCTCATGACTGTAAGTGTGATGCTTTAGAAAGTAACATATACGAGACTTTCAATTCCTATATCGTAGAGGATGTCCTAATCCAGCTGCACTACAGGTAAGCTCTTTGTTCTTTATTCACATTTTTTGGTCATTCAAGCTTCTTTATTTATACTGTCAAACTGCATCAACCACAAGTACGCAGGCCACGTGGCAGACCAAGGAAGAATCCAGCTGTGGATGATGAAGTCAATGCAATGGTAATGTTTGTTTGAGAGTTTTTTTAGCATACATGTGAAGGACGAACTATTGATTATCTGTTGTTATTAGATGCATGCAACAGGAAGAGCTACCAGAGGTAGCAACGCAGGAGGCAGGAATGCGGGAGGCAGGAATACAGGAGGCATGAATGCAGGAGGTGGGGGCAGATGTGCAAGAGGTGGTAGAGGCAGAGCCACTAGAGGTGCACACAATGGAGGAGGAGCTGCCGTGATTGACCAAGCAGGCGGTTCCCAGCCACCAGCAACCCAAGATTAATGCCATGTGATTTCTATAAGTATAGGGTAGATATGTGTGTTGCCCAGTCAGTAAAATTTCTTGTTATGTGAGGAAACAATAGGCCTTACTTATGCTTTTGTTATGAAACTATGTATGTTGCCTTGTTAGGAGTAGACTCTTCCACTTTGAAGAGCAATATGCTTTGTTAGGAGTAGACTCTTCCAGTTTGAAGAGCAAACTTAATTAGCTCTTCGTATGCTTTTGCTAGTTACTAAGACTCTGGTAGATCGGATATATGCGAAGTATTGTATGGTTGCAATGATCTTTTCAAGTCTGCGTTCTACTATATTGCACCACTACAGGAAAATGGGCTTCTTGCAACCCCAAAAATGTGTTGCATAAAGCTTTAAAAGAGTTGAAATATCCTAGCGCAACACTTTTACTAGGGTTGCATATAGTGGGGGTTGCAAAAACAATACACAACTGTTTTTTTTATATTTCGCAACCAAAATAAAAAGGGTTGCGTATCCTTACCTCTTATGCAACACCACTTTAGGCAACATATTTAAAAATATTTGCATCATATTTTCGTACCATATGCAACATTTTTTACACTTATTTTGCAACAGTTAAATTTTATTCGTGGCGAGTATAAATCGTCACAAATGACATTTTTTTGTGACAAATTGGTGTCGACATGAAAACAACAACGGTGACACTTTAATTGTCACACATAGTTGCATGTGTGACCATAATTTTGTCACAAATGCACCTTTTTAAATTCAAAGTATGATCTAGGGATAGTATTTACGTCACTGAAGTAACTATTTGTGACGTATTATGTTGTCATGACAACGTCAACAATATGACGTGCCACAAATTGTTGTTATTGGCGACCATCGTTGTATCACAACATATAGGGTTTGGTGACAACTATGATTGTCATAAAAGTGCAGCATTAGTGATGGCATACGAATTATTTTCTTCTGTGACAATGAAATTGTCGCAATTGTATGTTTTGGTGATAAGGATTTACAATGGAATTATGGGCATGAAGTAGCTTTAGTGACAAACAATCATAATAGAAACTGATTTTGGTGACAAGAATGGTTATCAAAATAAAGAAATCAAATCCACTAGATAATTAATCAAATATCTTAAATTACTTATACAAAATAGTATTATTGAAACCATCATAACCATAAATGGTACACAGGTGACACAACTATTTTCTTATATCTTCATATGAGTACGCAACACCTCATTGACACACTTCTCGATTCTCATTTCAGAAGATATCTGCAATTAAACTCAAAGAATGCAAGTGAATAAAAAATGTGATACAAATCATTTCAATTATAAATCATTAAGGGCTCAAATAAACGATTGGTCATTAGTCAATCGAATTACAGGTACACAATTGTTGTGAAAGATAAATAATAAAATACTGCAAAATTGAAAAAGTGGTAGGAATACTCACGAATCACAAACTCCTACGATTCTCTCTCTCGTCTGCAACTCATAAGAAAATAAGTTAGGTTTTTTTTTAAGAATATGGTATATTCTTGAATGGAAAGAGTTGGACTTGGACTTAAAGTTACGGCCTTGGAAAGTAACTGGGATAGATTCATTTTCTTATTTCAATACGTAATTGGCTTTGAATACTATTAGTTACAGATTGGCCAACGCTAAACAAAAAATTCATATCTACCTACTAAGGGATTACTCGTGCACGTACACCGGCCAACAAACTTATTCATCCTAATCTCATCTAAGGTAGAGCCTAGAATACAAATTACATTAAATTGATTGACACGAATGAGAAAAATCAAAAGACATAGGGCAAGCAAACACAATAGCATTGCCAAAAAGCAAACTAAAGATTACATAACTTTGTGGGCTTCGAATCAATTTCAGAAGAAGATAATAATGGGATTTGCAAGTTTTTTTGTATTACTGACAGAAATACAAAAAACAGTACCAGTTGACGGCGAGGAGCTTGTCTCGGTGAATTGGCAAACGACTGGAAAGAGAAGAGGATGAGCGAGTGGTTGAGATTTCGTAATAGGGTTTTCTGGTTATGCTTGGAAAGCCCAAGGGTCATGAAATAAATAAGTACATATTATAGAGCTTCCCTTAATGGTGTTAGATCTTTCAAAGATAATTCACTACGGCTTAATAGGTAAGTAAGGGATATATGGCAACAAATCTTTTCAGCGTCATGATTATCTTTCTTTTTAATTATACTTTTTTTTCCTTCTCGGTAGTTGCATTTTATAGACTTTTAATTCGAATACAACATTTGAATCACAATTTGTTGAAGTGTTGCATAAATTATGTAAATAGACAACCCATTTATAATTTTTGGTATATGTGTTGCCTAATGTAGAGCAAATGCAATTGGTAATTATTTTGGGTTGTGTTAGATACCTAATACGCAGCCTCAAAAAGAAGTGTTACCATTATATAGTTAATGCAACACTTTCAAATAGTGTTGCAAACCAAGTGTTGCAAACGGCCCCTTTTCCCGTAGTGCACAAACATCATGCTAAAACTTCCCGAATTGAGTCATTAAGTTCATACAATGTCAACTACAACAGAAACTTCAAACATTGGCAACAAACAACATCGACTAAAAATGAACTTCATTCCAATGTCAACAAACATCATCAACTTCATACAGCTTACTCACTTCAACCAACAACAGCAACCAATAACACTGATCAGTAAAGCTGCTAAAAAATACACAACTGTAGTCAACCTGGCATTTTCATCCCTAGTCTTGACCAACTCATAACATAGCACTTGTTTTTCCTTCTTCCTTCGTTCTGCCTTAGCTTCTCCGCCTTCAATCTCTCTTCCAACATAGCAACGAGCTTCATCTTCGAATCGTCGCCATCGACGATAGCCGAGCAACCCATAGAAAAAACCTACAGCTCTTATCAGTATTCTTCCAATACGGCAACAGTAAAACTCCCTCCCTGGATTATCTGTTGTCTCAGATACATTTACGGCAGCCGGTACATTGCATCTGCACTTCACTACATATGAGTTGGCAGAACTTGATTCTGCTTTGTTGTGGTTAGATCTTCGCCCAGACATGGTTGTGATGGTCACCAAACCAACTGTTATAAAAAATTAGGGTTTCATTGGCACCACAATTGAAAAAAATTCGTTCAATAAAGTTGAATCTTATGGAATGGGTTGTAATCAAGACTAATTTCGACTTACTTACCCTTAGTTACGACCACTCTTCCACACTTCAACTGACCTGCTTCGTCTTTCCTTCTGTGGTGCCTCAACAACAAACCATCACCACCGCCTTCCAAAGCTCGATCGCAAAAGACATACAGCCACGGCCGCCTTCCTAAGCTCCAGCGTCGCCACCGTCCAAAGCTTCGCCGGCACAGTCACCGTCGCCATCGTCGTTTGGAACGCAGGTGCAGGAGAGAACCTCCGTTCATCCGTCTAGTTGGGGCTTGGGGGGATAGATGCCCGATGTTGCAAAAAGATAGGGTGGGTTGGGTTAAAAGAATATTTATTTTGTAATAGAATAGAATAATAATTAATTAATTAAAAATATTTTAAGCATTTTTTACAACGTGGCATCCACGTGTCGCCTATGTGGACACAAAGTGGGCCACCGTCAGGTCAACTGTCAATTCTAACAGTCAACATAAATTCGCGTAACACATATGACACAAACCTCCAATATATTGGAATATTTTTGTGTTTATTGAAAGCATGTAATATAAATGGAACTTTCTCTAAAGGATGGTATTTCCAGTGGTATTAGCCCTTAATGTTATGTTATCCTAACTTCCTTGTTCTTCACTAATTAGGTGATGGCATGAAGCGAAAGCACGCATTAGCTAGTTAAATCTATCGCAAGAGGCGCATGCACGAGTAGAGAATGACTTTAGTGGAAGCCGGAAGGGATAGAGTGTTACAAGAGTGGGTAAATTAAATGGTTGGTCACTGGAAATACTAAAAATGTTCAGGTTTGGTCACTGAAAATATTCAATTCAATTAATGGTCTCTGTTTGAACCTAACTGAGTGTAGGAGTAAGGTTCGGGAAAGAAAGTGGGTCAAGGAGAGTAAACAACAGAAAATCCACGGTATGGCGTAGAACAAAGGGCTAGGAGGTTGAGAGAGTCGGTCTTTTAGAGAGAGAAGTTGATGTTCTTAGAGATAGAATGCTAAAAATGCGATCCGCTTCACCCACCGGAGTAAATGCCATATTTATAGGCTACATGGTGGTGGGTGAGTGGGTGGATTACATGATGGTATTTTGACCTTGACATGACCTTGACATGACTACTGACACGTCAGGGATGTAGGCCATTCCTCTACCTAGGACGTGTCAGAGGTGTACCTACGACCATCTCTCGGATCCCAATGTGGCCGGACCTCGGGGAGTGTGGGCGAGACTCCTCGCAGCCCTGTGGCTTAGTACTCGCTTGGCACTCTTAGTACGCGCGTGGCTTGTGACGCGCCCGGCTCTCCGCGCCTTGATGCTTCTCACCCGCGCGCAGCTTGTTAGGGGTTCAGGGTCTTCGCGCGTTGGTTCTTCCCATCCGCGCACATGCTGTGGCGCGCCTTAGGCTCTCGCGTCTGGGCTTATGTCAGAGCGTCATACCTTGCGCGGCTAGGTCCGAGTCACATGCCCAACAATTGTCCCCCATCAGAGGGTGTTCCGTGAATGCCCTCTGTTTAGACCTTCATTTGGTTGACTCGGGCCTGGGCGCGAATGGTCGATGGCGCCACATCTGATTGGGCGTGATTTCCGGGATTGTGATTGCTCCTCGCGTGCGCCGTACCGTTCTGTAGCGGCGGGAGAGATCCTATTGCAGTTGCTTGATCGAGCGCGGTCTTCGGTTGATCACGACCTTTGGAGTCGGGATTCTGAATCTTTTGGTGCGCGCGTGCGTGATCTTTGTGAGAGATTTTTTGACTTGTGAGATTTTTCTCTTTCCTCGCGGGTGTACCATGCCCCCCAGGCGTTGTGCGGAACTTGTTACGTCAGCGGCTAGTACCTACTTCTAATAGGTGTCCACGTGTCCTATCCTGGTTTGTCCGTTTTGGCGGGCGGATTTCGAAATTCGAAACGTCTGACGGTTGCGATTTTCGAGGTTACTTTAACCCTTCGACTTACCTCTAACAACTATAAGTATCGACCCGTTGTGGGTGGTGGGATTCATCCCGACTCATTCTGCACATTTGAGCTCTGCCTCTTTCCTCTCTTACTCTGGTCTATCGCCGAGATTTCTCTCCTTCTTTTACAATCTTAAATCTTCGGACGCCGTTCTTCTCTACTTCATACTGCTAGCATGGACAACACCAACACCAACGTCGGCGAGATTGAGATCGTACAAGACGAAGAAGGTAATCTTTCCCCCCTTTCACATGTTTCTTCTGATCCGTCGCTGGAATTGGCGAATTCCAGCGACGAATATGGCGGTGGGTCTGGTGACGGCGGAGCTCCGAAAACGCCGTCGGCCGGAGTCGACTCGGATCCTGATTTCGTCCTCGGGGAGGCGGATGAAGATGTTGTTACGTCGGGGGGAGAGAGGGCGAGCGCGCAGCCCCGGGGTGTTTTGATCATCCGACGCGACTGCGCTGGGAGATCTGGGGTCGCGGAGGGTGCTGGCTCCGCGGATACGGCTGAGCGCGAGGATTCTGACACACAGTCGGCGCCGATGATTGCGGAGCCCGTGGATGTGGTGCGCATAACCGAGGCGATGAGCCGCTTAGGCCCTCGCTGTGTGGGCGCGGTGTACACCGTCCTCGATTGGGCGGAGATGTGGGGCGACCAGCCGGCCCCGCACGACAACTTGCTGCGGGGACCCGACCACGCTTCCATATACTCGCGCGAAGACGTGGAGAATATCGTGCGCGGATTGGGCTTGCCTCCGCATTGGGAGTACGCGGTGCCCTCTGTGAGGACTATGGTGGGCAATTGCCCCCCAGGGTGGTTTGGGGTGTACAGCGAATATTGGGTGATGGGCTTCAAGTTTCCCATCGATCCATTGTTGTGCGCCTTATACAGGCGGCTCAAATGCTCGGTTGGGCGCCTCTCTCCGTCCATCATCATGCACGTTTCCTGTCTGCGCCTTGCCTGTAAGCGGCTTAACATCCAGCCCACGTACGGGCTGTTCCGCAGAATTTATAAGATCAAGGAGCCCAGTACCAAGAGCGACTGCTTATCCATAAAGCGGCGCGACAATAGGCCTGATGGATTCGTGTACGGCTCTCCCAAACTGAAGAAGACGTGGTTTGAGCGCTTCTTCTACGTCAAGCCGACGCCGGGGGAGTGGGCGAGTGAGCACGTGGATGAGCCCACCGAGTGGAAAAAGGGTAGTATCCTTGGTTATGAGTCCCACGTCGGCACGTATGATGGGCTTGACCAGGAATATGCAGCGTGCCTGGATCAGAAGATGAATCTGTACACGCGCGGAGTGCGCGAGGCCGTCTTGCAAGAGCTTTTTGCCGATGGTTAGTTATTTTTCTTTCCCTTTGTATTCTGTCATATTTAACCGGTTTCTTACGATATTTTGGTGCAGGTGTCGATTTCTCCGATCTTGTGAGCATGATGTCCGTGGACAATGTTGTGAAGGCTCCCCGCCCCTCGCGTAGGGGGAAGAATAAGAAGAAAGAGGGAGCGCAGAGCAGCAACGCGCCAGGGACCAGCGCCAAGAGGAAGGACCGAGGGCAGCCCAGCAGTGCCCCAGTGAGCGGTGGGAAGAGGAAGGAGGCGGAGAGAGAGTGCACTGATGAGAACCCGAAGAAGACTGCGCGGGTTGTTGAGGCGCAGGAGCGAGAGGTTCCCGCGCAAGAGGCACGCCAGCAGCCTCTGTCCATTGTCGACCCCAAAACGCGCGTGGGTGACTCCTCCCGACCGGAGAAGCGGGTGGCTCCTAGCTCTTCTGGAGCTACTGTGCAGCGGAGCCTTCCCGATATGCGGTTAGGCACCCCGGGTGTCGACTACTACCGCGAGGTGAAGATTCACACTGGCGCGGCGTGCAACAGTCAGACTGCGCAGGCTGCTCTGCGGGCGGTTGGGCCCG